TCCTAGCAGCAGTGGTGGTCTTACTGCTGTATGACAACTGCCGTCCAAACACATCGACACTCATGATGTAAATGAGACATTTTGTATAATGTCAGGTCCTAATATATGATTTCAGCCTCACGTAGTTCTTTAATTATAGAGAGAAGTTCGTTGGTATGACTGGTATTACCGGCCGCTCGAGATGCTGTGAGGAGGCGGAGTCTATCGACCAATTCATTTGGATTATCCCAGTAAATGTAGTCCATCCCGCTTGTTGTTGTCTTGGGGGCAATCATGGAGTGAGGCAAAAGAGCTGTCCCAGTTTTCGCTGGAGATGAAACCAATGCTGCGATGATATTTGTAAATTTTTCAGTNGTTTGCTACTCCTGAGAAGTTCTATTCGTTATTCACCGATCGATTCATATCTAATGATCGTCTAGTGCGTGAATATCATAATGCATTTATGAAGAAAAAACGTAATAGTGCCCCCGAAGGGAAGCTATTTAGTGGCCGCGGTTATAATTGTACGTCGTGGAATCAAAAATGTAAGTAATTTATAAGAAAAATATGTAATTCATGGGGACATTATTTTTGGGAAAATATACATGTAATTAATAACTGAAATTCTGTGTTTTTATTTCCCTGTATGATAGCTGCTATGACGCACCCACAGCATTCACAGTCACTCCCACCCCACCACTCGCCCGCGTCGGAGTCGTGCTACTCTGACCGGTGCAGTGGTGGGGTCGGAGTGACTGTGGGTGGGGGGCGCCATAGTAGTTCCCATACTACTAGAAACAATCTACATGTCGGTGGCGACCCATGCAAAAAAATGCTCGCATGTTATCTTGTATTTCACAGGCAACATTATCAAATATCATAATAGAGTTGGGTTTAGTCTCCTCAGGTTTAACCACTTCATCATCATCGTTGAAGGGAAAATAGCCAATAACTTTCACTGTTTCCAATAACTTTTTCAAAAATTGATATTTTGGTTGATTTAGAGATTTTGAGTATACATAAACATTTTCAAACTTCAAACCGTTGGGATGTGTAATAAGTGCGAACAGAGCGTTTGTCTTTCCGCAGTTCGACGGTCCACATATGACTGCTCGTACACTATTGGGTAGAAGGGGCCCGTGGTGATTTTTTCGATTATCTTTATTTTCCTCAGTAATTTTATCGAAATTCATCACCGGTAGCTTTGCACTTTGCTCCTTGAACTCCATCTTGATGACTGCCATCGGAGCCTATAAATACGCTGTATTTATGGACTTTCTATCAGTCTCTGGGAGAACATGGCTGCACGCAAACGTGCGAAAAGGCGGAAGGGTAAAGGTGTGGTGAACGATCTCATTAATAAATTACCCATTGAATTGCATGTGCCTGGTTATCAGTACTGTGGACCTGGAACGAAGTTGTTCAAACGATTGGCGCGTGGTGACCCTGGTATAAATCCACTGGATTCTGCGTGTAAGGAACACGATATAGCTTATTCGAAGAATAGAGAGAACTTAGCATCTAGACACGCAGCTGATAGAGACCTCGCTGAAAAAGCTTGGCATCGAGTTCTAGCCAAAGACGCCAGTCTTGGTGAGAAGGCTGTGGCCTTCGGTGTGGGGAACATCATGAAGGTTAAGAATAAATTCGGTATGGGAGTGAGTCAGAAAACTATTGATGAGAAGAAGAGGAAGACGAAACCGAAGACTGGAAAGGGCTGTCGCAAAAAGAAGGTTGGAGAGGCTAGCAAGAAGAAGATATCATTGCGTCAGATTGTGCAAGCTGCCAAGGGGTCCATGCACCCAGGGTTCGATGTTGTGAAGAGTGCATTGAAAGGTGCAGCTGAGGCTGTGAAACATGCTGGAGGGAGAAAGAAAATGAAAGCTGTGCCTCGCATTCTCCCTATTCCAGCAAAAATCGGTGGAATTCTTCCTGCATTTCTCATCCCACTTTTTGCGGGTCTTAGTGTCACTGGTGCTTTTGCAGGTGGTGCTGCTGGTATTGCTAAACTAATCAACGCCTGTAAGCATGCTGCCACGGCACTTGCAGAGAGTCAGCGACATAATCGTACCATGGAAGCCATCGCCCTGGGCAAGGGGATGTATTTGAAACCCTATAAGTCGGGTTTAGGTTTACATTTGAATCCAAAAAACTAGTAAGACTACCGCACCGAGCTCTCACTGACAGCGATCTAGTGAAATATGCTAAAGCCATGAAAATTCCACATTTTCGTGGTGTTTATATGAGAAATGACATGCCTCGAGGTGGATCATGGAAGTATGAGTCAGCTATAGTAAATCTTGATGATAAAAATGGACCAGGCACTCACTGGGTGGCGTATAAAAAAAAGATCATGAAGTCTGCAACTTCGATAGCTACGGCAATTTACGCAATTTACGTGACGGTAGTATTGTGAAATATAACCCTAAAAATTATCGAGACTGTAATACTATCATATGTGGACATTTATGCTTAAAATTTCTCTCTGGTGAATTGGTATAAAACAGCAGACAAGTTCATATATACATCAGTTTAGTGGTAACCACGATGAGTGACTCATTTACATTGACCTTGTCTGGCAGATCTTCTGTACTGGAGGCTTGGTATTTCCCACCCATTGAATNTCACCTCGGAAATCCTACAGTGTGGGACTTGTACAATTCCTAACATACAATTCAATTCCTAATATCGATGAAGGACGAAATAAATTTCATTTTCAAAAAGATGAATTCTCAGTAGAGCTGACTATATCAACAGGAAGCTATAAAATCAGTGAAATTAAGAAATACTTGAAGAATGAATTATTAGCCTGGAGAATCCCCTTTAGTTTGAAGGCTGATGACCGGACTCTCACGACGATAATTGAAGTGCCTAATGATATCATCATCAAGTTTATGAAATCAGATTCTATTGGGCAACTACTTGGTTTCCAAGGGGAGATTCTTGCCCATTCGACATTCTATCGAGCTACCAGACCTCCAGACATCATTCATGTAAATTCACTGCGAGTTGAGTGTAATCTGACTGCAGGGGCCTACATTAACAACCGACGTGCGCATACGATTCATGAGTTCTTCCCAAGTATTCCAACAGGATATAAGATCATTGAAGCACCTGCTCAGGTCATTTACTTGCCGATCGTTGCGCAGTCAATAGATCATCTGCAATTGAAAATTGTGGACCAAGACGATCGGTTAGTGAATTTCCGTGAAGAAGTCATCACAGCGAGACTTCATATAAGAGCTGATTAAAGAAAATGGGCATTGTCTTTGAGAAGAAGATTGGTGGCAGTTTTAAAAGTGAGGACTCATGCCGAAAAGTGGACAGTCGTCGAGTGCCTCTCACGAAGCTGACATCCCAGAACATCAAGTTCCTGAAGAGTCTGGGTCTGAAACTTCGCAAAAAAGTGCCAAAGTAAAGTTTTGCTGTGTCTTTTTTGCCTGCTGTTACTATCGTCTACCATGGAAGAAATGTTGAATATTCAAAAGCGAATCATCTTTGATGAGTCGATTTCTCATTATGAGATCCATGCTCATCAGCCATTCGCATCGTCATCCTTTAACAACAATGATGAAATCCGTATTTCCGTACAACATCAAGATCTCTGCCTGTTGCCAAGCAAGAGTTCACTGCATATCTGCGGGCGTTTAACGAAAACAGATAATGCTGCTGTTGCTAACACAGAACTTGTCAACAATGCCATCTGTCATTTATTCGAGGAAATACGCTATGAATTGAATGCTGTGGAAATTGATAGATGCAAAAATGTTGGTCTTACAACATTAATGAAA